AATCCACTGATTGCCACCTGAAAGAGATCCCAGGAGGAACACTTACAGGAATATCACAGCTAAGTTTCATAGCCCCCAGGTTAAGAAGAAAACATTGGAGGCAACAAGAAAAAAAAAATTTAAATATTATGGAGCTACAATAAGGATTATACAAGACCTAGAAGCAACTCTGTTGAAGGCCTGTAGGTCTTAGCATACTATATTCCACAGAGCAAAAGAGCTGGGATTACAACCAAGAGTAACTTGCCAGCAAAGTTAAGTATAATCCTGAATGAAAAAAAATGGACATTTAATGAACTGAAAGACTTGTGACAAAAACCCCAGAACTTAGGGGAAATTTGACATATAACATCCAGGAGAGATATAAGGTAAACATTAAAGATCTCAATAAGGTCAAATTGTTTACTTCGTATATTGAAAGTGAAAATATTAGCAGTACTCTTATGATTGTCATCATTATTTGTGTAGTTGTAAAGAAAGGCTTGGGTTGAGCTGAGTATGATGGGGTGATTCTAAAAGAAACAGAACTGTAGAGAGATAAAAAGGAATAATTATGTCATACAGATGAGGCATAAAAGGAAAAATCAATACACAGAAGAAGCTAGGAGGGCACTGGATCGAAGAGTATGTGCTGGAGAGCAAGGTGTAAGAAGACTGGAAAGGGAAGATGGAGCCAGATACGAAAGGGTTTGAATGCCGGAGCATTTTGATCTCGGGGGCAATATGCAGATAATGGAGTTTATCGAGTAGGGGGTGACACGGTCAGACTGGCATTTTAGGAAAGACGCTTCAGAGGCTGAATGGAGGATGGATTGGAGACTTGAAGCAAGCAGACCTCCTAGCAGCTACTGTAATAGTCCAGGCGTGAAGTGATGAGGGCCTGCACCAGGGTCAGAGGAGAGAAGGGGGCATGTGGAAGAGATGGTTCAACAAAGAAACCAACATGTCTCAACAACAGCTGGTTACGGAGGTGAAAAGTGAGGATTCCAGGCAACTCGTAGGTTAGGAGCCCAAGGGACTGGGAGGGCGGTGTTGCCTTCTACAATAATAGGGAAGGGAGGAGTGCGGAGGTTTTAGAAGGAAAAATCAGGAGTTCTGTTTTGGACGTGTTGAGTCTAAGATGGCTACTAGACATCCGGTTTGAGATATCCGAGAGGCATTTGCAAACACGAGATTGGAAGTCAGCAGAGACTGGGGCAAGAAAGGTAGATCTGAGAATCATCAGCATTGAGATGGTCATTAAACCCATGGAAGCTGATGAGATCCCCAAATGAATTAGTCTAGAGGGAGAAGAGGGCCCAGGACAGGACCCTGAGGGACACCTAAGGGCAGAGGGTGCAATCTGGAGGAGGACCCAGCAGAGGAGACAGAGAAGGAGCAGAGAGGTAGGAGAACCAGGAGAGAGACGGCCCCAAAAAACCCAGAGAGAAGACAGTTTCCAGCAGAGAGTGACCAACAGTGTCAGAAGCTGCAGAGAGGATGAGGAGAATGAGGATGGAGAAAAAAGCCATTGGCTTTGGCAACTAAAAGATCACTGGTAAGTTTGGAGAGGGCAGTTTTGGTGGAATGATAAAGTCAGAAGCTAGGCTGTCAGGGGTTAAGCGAGTGAGAGGAGAAAAAGTGGAGGCAGACTTTGGGAGAGGTTTAGCGAAAAGGGGGAGAAGAGATATAGTAGGATAGCTAGCGGGGTTAGAAGGATCCAGTGAGGGTTTTTTGAGGACAGGAGAGACATGGGCATGTCTGTAGGTAGCAGGGAAGGAGCCAGTACAGAGGGAGAGACTGAAAATAAGATTGGCAACGACAGAGGAAGCAATCTGTTGGAGGAGATGGGATGGAATGGGATCTCTTGAGCAGATAGAGGGGTCTGCCTTGGTAAGGAGGAAGGCATTTCATCATGGGAGACAGGGGCAGAAAGCACCGGAATGATGGGAGAAGAGGAAGCTCACAGAAAATAGCCCCCATTTTTTTCTACATAAGTCAAGGTTCTCATCTGCGGGAGGGGAAGCCATGGGTCTGGAAGAGCCACAGCAGAGAGTGGGGCAGTGGGCCAATAAGGGAGGCAGAACGGGACTTCCTGACAGCAGTGAGCCCAGCCGAGATCGTGGTAACACATTGATAATGGACACGGTCAAATTTGGCATGATCTTCCCCAGCTTTGTTTAGCAGCACATGTGTGTGCAGGCGCAAAAGCAACAAACGTGGGCAGCTACGTGGTGTAGTGGACAGAGCACGGCCCTGGAGTCAGGAGGACCCGAGTTCAAATTTGGCCTCAGACACTTGACACTAGCTGTGTGACCCTGGGCAAGTCACTTAACCCTACTGCCTAGCCAAAAAAAAAAGACAAAAACAAAAACAAAGGCAACAAACAGTGAGAAGGACCCAAGGCTGCAGCTTGGCCAGGCACAGCTGGAAATATGAAAAGGGTGTTAAGGATTCAACAGAGGAGGGCAGCATAGAGGAGCCTTGTTTCACCAAGGTTTCAAGATGGAGAGAAGAGGAGAGAGCTGCTAGCACATGGGAGAAGGCGTCGGAGAGCACTAAAGGGTCAAGGAATTGGCGCTCGCAGTGCAGACAATGGGAAGGTACAAGGAGAGGTGAAAAGCTAATGGATTATGGTTGGATGAAAGGATTCTGGAATTCTTGGCCCTGGAGGTGGTACACGTGTGGCACGGAGTCACTGTACAACAGCAATGGTCCTACTAACAGCGATGGGAAAACTAGAGCAAGGATTTATTTAGGAAAATAGCTTATAATACTTAGTTGAAATCAGTTTAAAAGTGAATCGAGTATTTCAGTCCAATTCAACACATTTCACTGCAAAGAAAGAACCTAAACAAAAAAGTCAGACTCAAGTTGTATGTAATTTAAATGCTTTAATATAGATGCCTATTAGATGCTACATTATAGAAACCAAACATTACAATGATTTTTTTAATGAACCTGCCATTTTTCACCAAAGAATTCCAGTGCCATTGAAGTTGTTAAACAAAAACACAATACGAATTCTTAAAAACTAAATGCCAATAATTCTGGTGGCAACGCAAACGGGACTTACATTTACAAATCCTTCACACATAAACTTGGCAATCACAAAGTTCTCTAGTGACCGAATCTGCCTCAAAAACGGGGGGAGAAACCTTTAAGCAACTAAAATTAAGACCCAGGGCTGACCAATCTCGGGTCCAAAAGACGGCTTGTCTCACCATTTAAATTTTAAAGCACAAATGCACAACATCTTTAAATCAGCCTGCGTCCAAACAGACACAAAGTGGACATTTGCCAAGTCTGCACTGACGGTTTAGGGAGACAAAGCTCTAACTGGTTTTCTGGAGCTACCTTCTACACTTCATGCAATTTACATGAACCATGATGGCAGAAAAAAAGTAACATAAAAGTTCCAGAGGCACTTCCAAAGAGCACAAAGCAAAACTTCTTGTGTAACTTTCAAAACAAAAAGAATAGTTTTTTAAATTTTTTTAAAACAACTTAAAACACATTCTTATATTTTTAAAACTTATAACACATACCAAAGCCAATCAAATATCTGAACATATTAAGGCAATCTGCAGGGAACAATCTGTGACAAGGAGCAGGAGAACCTTCATCTAGAAGAGTTGAGAAATGAGACAGAATCTAGCGATACTTGGTGCAGTTTCTGTTCAAAAGGCAAGTTAAAAGGGACAGGGTGGGTGGGAAAGGCTCTAGATACATTATGAACTCGAGGGATTTTTCACTGTAATTATTTTGCACAAAACCAGTCCTCCCCAGTACTCTTCTTTCGGATTCTCCCCTCTAGAGCCCTGGCGCTCTCACTGGGCTCCCTGCTAGCAGACTGGCCAGAATATCTGAAGCGGCTCCTAACGCATCAGAGCCAAGTTTCAATTTTTTGTTGTTAAGTTCAGTTTTGTCCAACTCTCCATGACCCCATGTGGGGTTTTTTTGGCAGAGACACTGGAGCAGTTTGCCATTTCCTTCTCCAGCTCATTTTGCAGATGAGGAAACTGAGGCAAATAGGGTTAAGTGACTTGCCCAGGGTCACACAGCTAGTCAGCGTCTATGGCTGGATTAAAACTCAGGTCCTCCTGACTCCAGGCAAGAAGCTCTATCTACTACCCCACCTAGCTGCCCCAAAGTCCCAATACCTAAAAAGCATTTAAAAGGTCAAGTGATTTTTTAAAAATAATCTTTTGAGATTTTCCCTTGATATGGATCAGAACCATGCAAAGCAACCAAAATCTATCACAACAAAAAATTATTCAATTAAAAAAGACAAATCCAGGGCAGCTAGGTAGCGCAGTGGATACAGCACCGGCCCTGGAGTCAGGAGGACCTGAGTTCAAATGTGGCCTCAGACACTTAACACTTACTAGCTGTGTGACCTTGGGCAAGTCACTTAACCCCACTGCCTCGCTCAAAAAAAAAAAAAAAAACCTAAACAATACATATAAAAAAAGACAAATCCAATGAAAAACTGAAGCCAGTCTGATGCGTGCCATGTGCTTCCGGCTGCCTTGAAGTCGCTCTCCTCATGCCCCACTTAAATCTGAACCTATCATCTGTCTTCCAGCAATTGTTACTTCAATAAAACTTGCTACATTTAAAGTTGACAAGGACTTACAGAAGAAAAATTTTATTTTAGGTGTATCATTGTGTTTACACAAGCTTTAAACCAATTTAAATTTTTCTCTAAAACAAGAAAAAAAATCAATTCTCTAATGCTAATGTACAGAAACTTAGCAAAATATACCCTTTTCAAAGTGTGTCTATTTCTACCATTGGCAAAAATCCTAATACATCCCCCTGAGAAAGACGTAAGACAAATTAAAACAGCTACTGAAACTGGGACTGTGATCAAGTTTAGGTAAAAACGCCAAGTTGTGAATACTTCAGATCTTTTCATTTCAACATTAATTTAAAAGTTTAACCAAAATAATTCAGACCACATTTTATAGTAAAAAATAAAAAACAAAACCAAAACTTCCCAGATGGATAGGAAAGCAAACCATCCTTATGAAATGAGGTTCCTCTTCAGCTGTCCATCACCTAACTGAAGAAAATCGTTGGAATCTTCAATAGCTAAGGAGAGAAACAAGGATTATTTGATATTTTAATAAAAAACGACAAATACTGTGGCCTAAAAGGACCACTTTCACCCCAAACATACGCAGCTCTGCAAAGCTAAGAGATAGCAACAATCCCAACAGACCCATATGAACTTTTAAGGGATGGTTTTTAGTACTCGGTCATTGTCATTTCTGGATGTTATTTTCCAACTTTTAGTCATTAAAATGTGAACAATCATCAACCCCAATAAAGTAGATTTGGGGATACTCAATCTGGCTCTGCCACTCAAGGCTCTCTTCAGATAGCTTTACCCAGCTAACACCGAGCATACCTACATTAATTTTCCACCTGCTTCAAATACCCATGAGACTTCGCTTTCTCCTCCAACTAGAGTCTTATCAAGTATTTATCGTGTTTCCCTCCTCTCCCATTCTCTTCATCTCCAAACCCCTTTTCCATCATCGGGCACTCTCGCCACAGTCTCCGACAGAAATGTGGCCTAGGCCTACCCCTCCTCCAGCAAACTGAATCCTCCATCATCCCCCTCCCTAAATCCTCTACCTCTGCTTACTTTCAAACATCATCCTTAACAAACCTTCACCTGTCCCTACCATCCTGAATCTCACATACCTGATGGTCTTTCTCTCTTTACAGAATCTGAACACCCTTCTCCTCCTAAACATTCTTCCCTTCCTCCCCCGCCTCAGAGGGTCATGACACCACCCTCTCCTCGTTCTCCTATCTGCTGGCTCATTATCCATATCATGCCCTAACTTGGATGTTCCCCAAGGTTCTGTCCTAGAACCTCTTCTCTTCTCCCTCGGGGGCCTCGGCTCCCATGGGTTTAGCCATTATGTCTATGGAGAGGACTCCCAGGTCTACATGGCCAGGCTCAGACTCCTCTGGGCTTCAAGCCCCCATCACCAATTGCTTATTGGACATTTCATACTCAATGTCCCAGAGACATTTCAAACTCAACATGTTCAAAATGGAACTCGTTATCCTCACCACCAAACTCTTCAGTTTCTGTCAAAGGCACCACCAATCCTCGGCATTATCCTCGATTCCTCCCCCCCCCCCATCCCATGGCACCAGTTGCCAAACCTCATCTTTTCTGTCTTCCTCTCCTTCCTCCTCTCTTCTCTCCCTCTTTCTTTCCTCCCTCTCTTCCTTAGTTCAGGTCTTCATCCCCTGTCCCCTAGATACAAGAGGCTCCTCACTGGCCTCCCTGCCTCAAATCTCTCACCACTCCAGACCATCCTACTTCTCACTGTGCTGCCAAAGTGATTTCCTCAGAGGTCCTTCTGATTATGGCTCCTCACTGCCTCTAGGATACAACAGGAACCCCTAGGATTGGCTTTTCGAGCCCTCTTCTACCTGGGCTCACCCTATGTTTTCTGCCTCACTGGACATTCCCCTGTCCCTCACTTGGTGCCCTAGTCACGGCCTTCTGTCTGCACGCCTCTGTGCCTTGGCCTGGAATGCTCTCCTCTCTTCACGTCTGCCTCGGAGCCCCTCTCTTCCTTCAGATTCAGCTCACGACCCACCTTCTGCATGAAGCCCACCTTCTATTTACCAACTTTGTAGTTATTTGTATTTAGTCTTTTCCCCAGCTCAGAATGTGACATCCACCTGGGGGCAGTTCTGTCTCCCCAAAAGTCACTTGGGGCAGAGAACTAGGCTGGTGAACCATAAATTACCCAGCGTGGGAGGAGGTTGACACAGTAAGATGTGGCCCCCAAGAAAACCACCCTCAGAGGTGAGGGAGTCAGGAAGTGAGTGATAAGGAAGGAAAAGAAGGGGGAAGAGACTAAAAAATACCAACCAGCAAAGTTTGCATGTGATCCTGGAGACAATGAAGAACACTTGCAGCTTATTAGCAGAAGAGTGACATAAAGCTCTGTGCTTTGGGAAACATATGGCAGCTGTATGGCAGACAGCCTGTACAGCATGAAGACCCCTTGGGAGGAGCCTGTAACCATTCAGGTAGGAGGGGATGGGGGTGACCAGGAGGACAGCAGTGTGAGCAGAAGGAAGGGGTCAGATGGAGACAAGATTCCACAACTGGCAAGAACCATGGGAGAAGGAAAAGTGAAAAAAAAAAAAAAACACCATACTCATGAGTCTGGGAAACTGGATGAAAAATGGTATCCCTGACAAAAACAATACATTGCTTGGAACACAGTGAAGTTGAAAAATCCCAACTGGCAACCGGTGCCCCAAGATGGGAGCTCTGGAAAGAGAAAAGCTAGCTATGTCGACCTGAGGATAAATAAAGCCACGGGTAGAGAGGAAGTCATAGAGATAGGGCCCCGGAAAGAGGCTAGGGATAACCACACGGATGAATCAGCAGGAAAGACGAGATCGTATGGGCTGGACACCCAAGGAAGACCGGCGTCATGGAAACCAAGGAGGGACAAGCATCCAGGAGGGAAGGAGGGTGGTCAGAGGGGTAGACAGAGCAAGAGAAGAGGTCATCAGATCCAGCTATTAACTCTGCACAGTCACTCAGTTGAGTAACTATGCTGGTACCTAGAATACACAAGGTGTGGAGCAAGAGGTGAAGAAATGCAGTCAAGAAACACAGAGAGCTCTCCACAGAGTCTGGCTTAAGGAGAGATGGGGAGATGGGAGGAGATGGACAGACTGAGTGAACCACAAGGGTCTGCAGGAGGTTTTTAAGGATGGAGGAGACTTACGCATGCTTGTAGACAGCATGGAAAGACACAGTAAGGAGGGAAAAACTGAAGACTGGAAAAGGAGAGTGACTCCAAGGTCAAGAAGATGAAGACGAGACAGAATGGAATCATCAAAGGCACTTGCAGGGAGGGGGAAGGGTGGAGACTGCACGAAGGCAGAGACAAGCCCTTCCCCCTCGATGCCAGCTACATGTTCAGAACCCCGTACCACTGCTGCTTCTCACGCCCCCTCCACACTGGCCTCCTCGCCTCCCCAACCAAGTCTAAGCTCCATCCCTTCTGTCTACAGCGCCCCACAGCTCAGCGTCACACATAGCTGGTCCACACCCCACGTTCTCACCCGCAAACCACCGTTTGAGGCTGCTCCCTGTGCTCGGATGGCCTTCCTCTCCTCAGGCTACAGAACACCCGATCCTCCTTTGATATCCTACTCAAAGACTCAGTGGGCACTCCGAAGTCTCCCATGACTCCCTCCACACCAGCAGAAAGGGCTTTAACCCTCCCAGACCTGTCACCTCATCAAAGCCAGCTTTGTTTGGCCTTCTCTCATGCATCTTTGCACTTGTTCTGTATCAGGCTCATTTGCGTGTGTCCCATCCCCTTTCCACAGCACGAGTAACAATGCCTTACACCAAAACGCATCATCTACCCCCAACCGAACACGATGCTCTGTTCGTGATCGGCACGTGATAAATATTTGCCGAATCGGACGAACCGAATCTCTACGGGAAGATTTCTGGAGAGGAGAGGAACAGAAAATTTGGCAAATCTGCTGTCCTTCAGGCCGTTTTCAGGTACTTACCATCGCCGCACACTGTGGATCCGCCATGTGCCTCAAGGCTTCCAGAACTGGGTTCCTTCTGAACAGCGGTTGGCAAACTGACACATAAATGACCCCAGTTCTCACCTCCCTCCTCTGAAAAACAAGAAAACACCAGCTCTGGGCTTGCTAGGGTTAATGCACCACTGGCTTAATTACCATCCATTTTATGAAGAGCCAAAGATTCTTCAGTCCAGGGGATCTTGCTACTCAAATGCTAACATGATTACCACTGGGCGTGGGGGGCCAGGAATCCACCACGTTTAGCCCCATTTGCTGCAATTAAAGGCCGATTGTTTTTCATCTGTTTTCTTTTTTTTTCATCTATTTTCACAAAGGAATGAATTCACTGAACTAAAACTGATGATATACTTAGAAATACATCGTTCTTAAACTATACAAATCCTTTCTTAAAAACACGAATCAAGGTGAAATCATTCTTAAGTTATACAGTAGCATTTACCCAAATAACTTGATTTTTCCTCATTTCGAAGCTTGCTAAGTTCAAACCGACAATTTTGAAAAATTACGGCCAGAATTGTTTCTGAGACGACTCCTAAAGCGATGTGTGCAGCCAGGACCCTGCTCCCTGAGTCACTGACAGACTGCCGTGTCTAAGAGACCAGAAGACATTTCCACTTTGATGTTGGCCCATGACAACGTAAACAGTGACACTCCTACAATTTCCTCACAAAAATCATTGAGAGGAGCTGCCTGACGCAGCTGCTCAAAAGCTTTCACGGGCTCCCCATAACCTTACAGAAAAAAAAGACCTTCCTTACACTCATTTAAAATAGCCTTGGCCCCACCCTCAGGCAGGCCCTCTGTCACAACGTCCAGGGCTGATCAGTTACCAAATGCCACCAAGGTCCCTTCCACATCTCTCCCATGTCTCCTCTGCCCTGACAAAGGGATCGCCTACATGCAGGAGCTACTCAGTTCTCCCTTAACTTGTCTCCGCCCCCAGTCTCTCCCCTCCCCATCACTGCCTACGTCATCATCCCAAAGGCTCACCAATCCAAGAAGCTCGTTGGCGCTGGCAAAGCCCCTGCAGCCCAGCCGGGCCCAGCCCGCCTTCGCTGACTGATCTGACTTTGGTGCCCCCAACGCCAGTCCCTGCTTACTTCACAACACCCCACCTCTTTCCTCCCTGACACTGCAAAGCTGGTCCACACGCCTGGGATGACCTCTCTCCTTGCCTTGGTATCCTGAATCCCCTGACTCATTCAGGGTTCCATTCAGGGACTACCGTCTGCAAAAAATTTCCCTGATCTCCCCAGCTGTTAGTGCTTTCAGCCCCAGTTCCAAGCCCCAGATCACTGCATGAACACACTTCTCGGTCCTCACTCGCCGGGGGACGCACTTCCCCACTCACAAACCCTAACCCTCCTCAGCCAGACAAAATCCGGGAACCAAACAACGGCCACGGCCCAAACTCCTCTCTCGTTAGCCCGCGAGCGCTCCTCGTCACAGCCGTCTTTACACCTACCGCGCGTCATCTCTCTGGAAGGTCTACTTTCTCTTCTTCCATCTCCTCTCCTCAACTAGACACACTAAGGACATCCCAAGAGCCAGGACTACTCCTGCATTTACTTCTTTTGACCAAACCCACAGCCCAGCAAATGACTCTCACGTCCCAGGTCGTGCACACCTACTGGCCGCTCATTCGGATGAGCTCTCTCCAACTTTGTGCTCAGAAGGGAACCCATGGATTCCCTTCCATTTCTACACAGATAATTCTCTCTCCTGACCAGGGTCTTACCATGCATCTCTAATTACCAAACGGACATACCGAACGGAAACCGGATGTCCTGTGAGCACGTCCCCAACTAAACTCATGCTTTTCCCTCCAAAACTTTCCTACCACCATCCTCCCAGTCACCCGGGCCCAAATTTCAGGGGTCGTCCTCCATTTCTCAGTCTCTCAACCCCCACTTAACAATCCCTAGCCATACCCTCCTGATTTTACCTTAGTCACATCTCTCCCCTAAGCCCCCATCTCTCCTCTGTTGCTGCTGCCCCCGCTCTGAGACAGGCTCGCATCTCACCACCCATGGACTGCTAGAACAGCTGAGGGGGTGCTGCTTGCCACAAGCTTCTCCCCCCTCCAGTCCGTCCTCCACTCAGCCGTCAAAGTGATTTTCCTAAAGCAGCAGGTCCGGTCACGTCACCTCCCTACTCAATCAACTCCTGCAGCTGTCACCTCTAGGAGCAAACAGACAATCTTTTTGTTGAGCCTCCCAGCCTCTATGATCTCGTGAACAGCCTTGTGGCTATTCCACCACCCGACCCGCCATTTCTTGGCTCCAGGCATCTGCCCTGGCTATACCCCATACCTGGCATGCTCTCCCTCCTCATCTCCACCTCCAGGCTTGCCCGTTTTCATTCAAGTCCTCTTCTGCAGGAAGCCTGGCCCAAGTGCCTTCCCTCGAGTGACCATTTCCACTCTATTTTGCACATGGCTTGTTTGTACATTGTTGTTTTCATGGCATCTCTCCCATTAAAAGTGTGAGTGCCTCATGTACAAAGACCATTTGGGGCCTTTTCTTTGCATTTCCAGTGTTTAGCAGAGCATCTAGCACATAGTAGATCCTAACGGATGCTCACTGACTCTTACTGTGTTTCAGGCACTTACTGTACTAAACAACGGAGATACAAAGTTGGTTTGTTTTTGTTTTTTTTAAACGGCTTCTGCCTCAAGGAGCTCATTACATTCTAATGGGGCAAACAACATATAAACAGGCTCATACAGAACACATACAGAAGAGATTAAAGATTCCCTTACAGGGGAATAATAATAATACCACCAAGAGCAATATTTCCATAGCACCTACCATGTGCCAGGCGCTGTGGTATGTGCTTCACAAATATGATCTCTTTGGATCCTCACAACAACCCCGGGAGGCAGGTACTATTGTTATCCCCATTTTACAGATGAGGAAATTGAGTGAGGCCAACAAAGTTTAAGTGACTTGCCAGAGTCACATAGCTAGTGTCTGAGGCCAGATCTGCACTTAAGTGGTCCCGACTCCAGTCCCAGCTCTATCCACTCCACCATTAAAGGTGGTGGTATACAAAACAGTGTGGAAAAGAGGGAACTAGCAGTATTAGGAAGGGCTTCTGACCTAGAGAGACCCAGAGTACAGAATAAGAAGTCAGGAGGATGGATACAGATTACCAGAGGGCTATCAATATATGTATCAGATGCCTAAAGACATAAATATCTATAGATACAGAATATCTTCTCAAATATCTATAGATGGAGCATATCTGAGACATCCACAGATACACAGATACAGAATATCAGAGAAAGAGAGGGAGAGAGTCAGGGAGGGGCAGTGAGAGAGACAGAGAGAGAAACAGACACAAACACACATACACACACAGAGGTCACATTCTATATTCCAAGTCTCTTACTTCTCTGTTAGAAGATGGACAGCTGGGTGGCTCACTGAATAGAGCCCTGGGCTTGGAGTCAGAAGGACCCAAGTTCAAATCTGGCCTCAGAAACTTACTAGCTGTGTGACCATGGGCAAGTCACTTAACCTCTGTCTGCCTCAGTTTCCTCATCCGCACAATGAGCTGCAGGAGGAAATGGCCCACTCCTTCCATCTCTTTGCCAAGACAGCACCAAATGGGATCACAAAGAGTCAACTACGCCTGAAGTGACGGAGCATCAGTATGTTCATCATTTATCCCCTGGAATTGTGCTTGGTCATGACACTGATCAGAGTTTCTAGTTCTTTCAAAGCCATCTGGATATACATGAATACTGTTATCACTGTGTAGACCATTTTCCTGGTTCTGTTCATTTCACTCTGAATCAGTTCATACAAGTCTTCCCAGGTTTCCCTGAACCATCCCCATCATCATTTCTTATGGTATAACTGTATCCCATCACATTTACATACCATAACTTGTTAAGCTAGCTGATTATTTGATTAGTAATCGATGGGGATCCCCTCAGATTTCCATTCTTTGGCACCTCAAAAAGTGTTTAAAAATTGTTGCATATGCTCGGCACTTGTTTTGCCTAGGAGCTGGACTGACCCCTCCCTCAATCTAGCCTAATTCCCCGCCCCCTTCTCCCTTTTATTTCTCATCTCCCTGTTAAGTGAGATGTATTTCTGTACCCAACTGTGTCATAGTCTTTCTCCGACCAGCGCAGATAAGAGGAGCTGGTAAGTCAGGCACGCCCGGCTCCCCCACCTTCCCCTTCCTCCTGGTTTGTCTAGCTGTCTACTCACATATCCTAATTATAGAATTCTCCTCAAACTTCCTTTCCTTTTCCACCCTAATGCAGACAGATATATAGACAGACAGATATACAGATATGCACATATACAGACAGATAGATAGATGATACTGTCAATGTGGAAATTTGTTCTGCTTGATTATACATGTTTGGAACCAGAATTTTGTTTTTCTTTCATTCTCAATGGTGGGATCGAGGGAAATTTTTGCTCAATTTTTTTATAGCACCATGGAATATGGACTGTAACAGAGACTGGAGGCAAAGAGAATAGAAAGGAGGGTAAAATGCAATAAAAGTGAGAGTCGATGTGGGCTTGAACCGAGGTGGTGTCAACGTGAGGAAAGAGAAAAGGTAGCATATATGAGAAGGTGTCAATGAACAAACAGCAAGATTTGGTCAGAGAATGTACATGGGGATTGAAGGAAAGCGAGGAGTGGAAGATAACTCAAGATTCTGAACCTGGAATACCGGAAGAATGAGGTCCTTTGACACAGTGTGAAAGAAGGGCATATTTGGAGGGAAAGACGATGATTTGTTTCAGACATGCAGAATGTGAGACAGCTCGGGGTCATTCAATTTGAAATTAGATAATAAGCAATTTCTTTAAAAAGAAAACCTGCAAACTATTAACAGCCATACCAACGAATGCCCCAAAACACTAATAATAAAAGAACTGCAACTCAGAACTCTAGATTTCATCACACACTTCACAAATTGGTACAGGTAACAAAGGGTGAAAAGAATCAATATTGCAGGGACTGTGAAAGACAGGGGCACTCACAGCCTTGCCAGTGAAGCTATGAACTGGCCCATTCATTCTGGAAAGCAGTTTGGAATTGTG